CAGATTTAGTTACCGGAGGGCAGCCGTCGCGCCTCTGCCCAGCACCGGGGGCAGCGGGACAAACCCGCCTCGGGCCGGGAAGCCGTCGAAAGTTTCGGTCATCTGCCAGGCGAACTGATGCCACCGGCTTGAAAATAACCCTCTACTACCACCTGGAGGAGTTGGAAATAATGAAGAACACGTAAAAGCCTTTTAAAGGCAGAAGGCGGGACCCGTGTAATGTGCTTTAGCATAGCCACACGGCCCCTGCCCGCCCCCTCCCCGTGAAGGAAGAAGTTGAGATTGTAGTCTCAGGCAGTCTTAAGTTTTTAGAAAAACAGTCCAGAAACCAATTACTAATTTTCATTTCCTCAGGGGAGAGAGGGGAACAAGTCACCCTTCCCCCGAAGGTTTACAACATTTCGGGAGCGTTGCATAGGTAGAGGGTAGCCCCGTGTCTGTGCAGGGGGTACCCTGACCGACCTGCCAGCAACACGGCGATGTTGATTACTCTTTGAAGCAATGTTCTTCTGGCAATCACATCTCTTCCAGAGTTTTAATGTTCCCAAATTTGCATATTGAAACTGTGATCTTTCATTTGTATAAAGTGGAAATTCATGATTAGACCAAAATACCTTACTTGGCTGCTAAGAGACACCATTGGTATAGCTCTGGCACATATTCAGAAGAAATTTTTTTCCACCATGCAGAAAGGAAAAGGAAGTATGTGCCTTTTCACGTTACCTTTATCCATAGCTTTATATTAAAACAACTGGTAAATCCTACAGAGAAAGGGGGGTGGCCTTTGAGAAAGCAATCGCTGCCTGTAGTACTCAGACCATATGCATAGTTTCATGCTTACAAGTTGACAAAGTTTATTTTTTAAATGCTAGTTTTTAAAGAAACACGAATCTGTATACAAAGGCAAAGGCCTTTGTGTTTGATAATGGGACAGAAGTTAAGTAGATGCATAAGAATTAGCAGCCAAGACTTATTTTAGCTACACTGTTTAGCTACAGTATTTAAGTGGTAGTTAAGGGAGAAAAGCAGATGATACTACAGGAATTAACATACAGTTAAAGAGAAATCAGAAAATCTACTAAAAATTGAAGAAAATCATGTTGTAAGTGACCTTTACTTATGACAACTAATATTTACAGGACAAAAAAGTTAACATATATAAACCACTTTAGCCAGTTTCTGCCTTCTCAGAATGCAGATGCCCTATTTTTCCTTGTAAGAAGCTATGGACATTGAATTCCCTTTCATTAACCTTATTATAGAAGGTTATATATAACTGATATATATTAATAAATCAGTAATTCACAACTTGAAGTTCAGAAGAAAAATCTACAAAGAAATACTGAAGTGTTCAGCAGCACCAAGTAACAACCCCAAGCACATCTAATGTCACAGCCCTTCCCCCGGCAGAGGCCGAGGGCGCTCACCGTACATCATAACAAAAACAGTGACGTGGAAATAGAAGGTTTGCCTCCAGGCTTAGAGCAAGAGGAGAATCGGGAAAGCATTAACACTGGAGTCTCAGGCTAGAACCATAACTTGGCCTGTAAAATATCTTCACATTTTTGTCCCAGTGTAACAGTTACAAAAACTGGGTAATCTGTTATCTTCATAACAGAAGATAGGCTATTTTCTCTTAAATATTTACATTTAATTCAGTAGCATTCTAGCTTATATTTTCAATTTATTATAAATACATTCACTTTGTGAAACACTATGATTTCATGGAATAGATAAACAAAAATTTTACTGCAGTCCGTATCACAGGCATTTAAGCCTAATGCATCACTGGGTGACTAAATGCACCGCTCATTAAATTACCATTTCAGACTAATTCACAGAGACTACAGCCTAATTGAGTCTCCCTCTGCTCCTGTTTCCTTTTCCCCAGATTCTGTAATCCAAGTGTGACAGCAATCTATTAATGCAAATATCCAGAGCCTTACCTGCTCCATTTCCACCAGCATTTCAGGCATCGCCTCAAACTATGGAAGGCATTTTCAGCCTAGGAAATTATTGCAGTTCAACTGCGCATTTGTCCCTTTGTCTGCTTGTGCCTGCAGAGAGCACACGGACTGAAAGAAGCTATAGCTCAGTTGACCTTTGAAACCAAAATGCTAATCCAAGCCCTATGTCACGTGCGGCTCTGAATCCTGTTAAGCTTTTGGTTTATTCCCAGTGGTACCATTTAAGCAGCTCAGTATGAACTTCAATTTTTACTTCATAACAGCCAGCAGAAGCAAGCGCAGCCATTGTGTGTATAAAATTTATTCAAAGCACTGGCACTGAGCCTTATGCAGTTTTCTTTTTATAGGAAACAGGAAGAGGGCTCTAATTAGGTCAGCCAGGTTGAAGATTCTAGCTGCTTTTCGTTTTACATTTAAACTAAGTACAACCCAGATCTTGCTACGATACAGTGAGATGGATGATCAGAGAAATAATTTCAATTAAAAAAAGGTATGTTCCACAACATGAAAGTAATTGATTCCTGCAGTGAATACTTAAGTCAGTTGAGCTACCAGTATCAAGGTTTCAGTTTTTAATACGTATTTCATACATGCATGGAACTGCCAAAACCACTTAGATTGATGTTGACACAAAGCACTCAGAATTTCCCCTTTATTCCCACTCTTCTCTTCCCAGCCTGCGCTACATTATTTATCTATATTTTAAAACTAAAACAAACAAAAAAAAATTGACATTGCTGTAAGGCTAGTGTAGTTATTTGCAAGAGTTTCCCTATTCTTTTTGTCAATACAAGCATGCTCTTGATAGTTGAAAAAGGATTCAAAATTACACTTAGGTAAAACTGCCAATTAAGCTAGAAAGTTTTAAGAATTAAGGCTGTATGAAAAAATAAGTAGCCATCATAAAAGCAAAATCTGTGCTATCTGCAGTATTTTGCTTCACTTGGTGTACTTTCACCCTTTGACAAACTCTGGCTACTTTGATGCAGGACGTGTCAAACACCAAAAGTGAAGTTCAGTTAAAAATGTACCTTAGCTCAGTGTCCCCATTTCCATGTTTGAGTTCGCGGAACCTTCTGTTAGCATTCACTTGCCCTAATCTCTCCTGAAATAAAAGGCTCGTGTACATTTTTAAAAACACAAACTAAGAATGCCTTTCAGTTTTTGCATGAAGGCTTTTCAGACATCGACATTCTGATTTATAGTGATTTTGCCTTAAAAATCCCCATGAGTAGCACGGCACAGCAAGTGTGCACCTTTCAGCCGCCCTGCATGAAAGATGAAGGCCATCCTATGAGAAAAACTCCAGCGTAATAGCTGTAGAGTGTAACTTCCATTTTCAGTTGTTTACAGATTTCCCCCACCGCCACCCCATTGCTCTCTCCCCTGCTGCCCACCGGACTGGGCTCGGTTTAACCACCTGCTCATTTCACATCCCGTGACTAGTGGCTATACAGGCTGTGCAACATCAGGATTTCTAGTACGACCATGTTCTCATCAAATGAGTCCCACTAATGCAGATTTCCTCTACAGTTTTCTTTTACCCCATTTACATCTTTCAGACAAGAAAACTTTTATTTTTCTCCACAAGGAGAGATAACTCCAGTATTAAATTCTTTTAGCAGCTTCCTTATTAAAATATGCCTCTCAACACTTCAGGCAAACCGCTAAATTGAACACTAAGTATTTCTCAGTTCAAACACCTGGAGTTCATCCTCATCCTCAGTCTTCAGAAGTTCAAGTAATCCAGCAAATACACAAAGATGACATTAACAGACAAGACCTAGCAGTTTCTTTCCTTGGACTTAACATGCATTTTTGGTATCTCATTTCCTAGGTATTATCAATTCACTGTAAGATTATAATGTCAGTGTAAGCGGCAATACATTCAACACACCAAGCTTTGTGTACTGTCTCTGCAGCACCCATACGCAGGATATTAGTAGATACAATAACAAGAACAGAGTTCCGCATTTCACTTAAGTTCCAGTATTTACTTTTGCATTAAGAGAAATTCACAGGAAACAAGAGGATAAGGGAATTGCAGGTTGTATGTATTGTAAATAATTTCTGTAAGACTAGAGAACGCTTAGTCTTTGAGGCAAGACTGACATTGGGCTTTGTTGTGAAGATTTAAGACAAGAACAAAGAACATCAGGTCAACTACACTATGATTTTGGTTTTTATCCCTGGTTTGTGAAGGAAATAGACAAATACTTTAATTTAAAATTTTTATTGTGCTAAAACGTTCTTAATTTGAGATGCAGTTAAAGAGATTCCTTCCACCTTGCCAAAATCTAAGTCTCTACAATGAATGCATGTACAGTGGGTATCCTCCCACATGGTTAAGACAAGTTCTGTTGTCAGTCCCCTTCACACAGCACTGATCAATTACAACAGCTGCCTACAAAGATGTTATGACAGTTTAAGAGTCCAGTGAGCACAGCATTCATAAAATCGACATTCCTCTTAAGACACTAATCTTAGCCACAGTATGCCAGCATTTAGATAAATGCAGTCAATTTGAGTTTGACTTGAAAACCCTCTTCTGGAGATCAGCAGCTGCAATATCTAGCCCCAGGATTTAAATTAGCATGTCCTGAATATAGATCCCACTAAGAATATAAAAACTAACTGTACAGTCCGATTTTCTACATTGGTTCTATATTATGTAGGCCACAGAGGAAGAAGGGTCTCTTGGCAGCATTTCTGCCATTGGTATTGAAGCAACCATAAACAGCAAAATTAATTTAACATAAAATTGTATACATGAGATAGATAAAAAACCATCTTTTATGAAATCAGATTTCATTTGCCATCCTTATTCACCTTTTCTGAACTTAAGCTTCTCTGTCAAAAACAAACTAAGCAGCTTCAGCATACAAAAAAAGTGAAACAGTGAACACTTTTCGCAGTTGAAGAGTGCAACGATGTTACCAGGAGTCTGGAACAGCCACCTACAGCTTCACAGTAAGAGTATAACCAAGCATAGTTTTCTAAAAACATATCATTTTAGACCATTTCTCTAGTACTCCTACTAATTTGTATTATATACGGCATCAAAGTTCACCTTGAACAAGCAGTCTGTCAAAGTCTTCTGTAGTACATAAATTTATTGGTGATTCATGATATTGTTCTTAATACCAAGAAGAGATTAAATTTTGTTTTTATTACCTGCAATGGAAAAGGGTTACTAAGTTTGCGTTTTTCACCATTGCTCCCACCACATTGAGTCATTAATTGCCTGCTGGGGGGAGGAAGGCACTACGCTCCACGTAACAGGGAGGCCAGAATTTCAGACCCTGGCATATACTGTAAACTGAAGGTCTGGTTAAGATCTATACCCTCCCACGCTGCCTCCCTTCATGCATCCCTATGCTCTTGCCATCTTTCCCTCCACTACACATTTATCTGTAGGCCTTCTGCATCTTACCTTTACACCTACAGCAGTATAACGTCCTGCCAGGTAGCAGCTGAAGAACCACAGCTCAAACCCCTGGCTGAGCCACTTTAACCCCTGCCACCCATGCAGGAGACGCTTCCCATCACCCGATTAGCTGTAATGCGCAAGCTGCATGACAGAAGGGAAATCGGAGGCGATACACAGTAGCAAAGCAAAGTTCACATCTTGCAAGATCGTGCAAACCAGCGGATTCTCTGTAACCCACTCCCTCCTCTTCCCCCCTATCAAACACACTCTGTTGTCTGACCTGTCATACCACCTGCTCACATCAGGTTATAAGAAACTGGCCTAAAAAGCACAATAGCAAACCGGACACTGGCAGTGCCCCATCGATGCAGCCCTCCAACATCTGCTGTGAAACACACAAGAAGTGCCTTCCTTCCCCAAATGCAGCAGACTATGCAAGACTGTCATACCTTCTTTGCTTAAGTTTAAGAGATACAAGGACACCATTATGTCAATATCTAAGCTTACCTTCTTTAAAAGGAGTTTTCGGAGGAATATTTTCCTTGCTATCATGCTGGAAAGCTTTGGAAGGATCAAAACGCCTAATGCCCTGAATTGCATATAGCTGCTCCTGAAGATCTCTGTTGGTTTGCTTTTCTTTTGCTAGCAATGCGCGCAGTTTTGAGACATCCTAAAGAAAACATAATACTTGGAAGTTAGATTAAGAACAGGAGGAAAGTCTGCTTCATCATTACTGAAGGAGCCCTTTTGACTAATGCTGAACACAAACATACATACACAGTTATTGGTGGCGTTGAAAAACAAACCAAAACCAAACATACAGGTGTAGAGAAACCAGCACCACTGTACAACTGCTGTATACCACCACTACGCAGTATGGTAGCCTGAAACTTTCAGGTGCTGCTTCCAGCAGATAGTTTACTAAGTCTAGAACCTCCAAAAGAGGTAAGCAAAACCAACCAAGCCAAGAGTCAGGGTAATTTGCACTGGTGGTCCCTCTGTATATCATATTCAGTCGAAACTAAAACAGATTCTCTTGGTGTTTCTGGAGGCCGGTGGTTTGTTCTAATCTAGCTCTTCCAGGGAATTTAAGAACCATAGAAACCAAGTAGTTTGCAGGATTAGTCTATAAATATTTAGAGCAACAACCAAAGGAATCAAGCAAATAACTTAGATTTAACTTTTCATTTCACAAACCTGCTTCAGGTGGGTATTCTCTTCCTTCAACTTCATAACATGCTTGATTTTTTGCTTCTGGTTCTGGTGGCCAAGTAGTTTAGCATAGGCATCACTTAGTTTATTCAGTTCTTCTTGGGCTGCACCGTGCTCATTTAAGAGCGCATTCTTCTCTGCTTCAAATGCATCTAATTGTTGCTGAAATAAATATTGAATCTTTGAGAAATTTTTAAACATAGCTTTTTACTGAACTGAAATCTACAAAGAAAGATTGGTTTGGGAAGGGGAACAGCTGGCTCAAGGGACAGTAACTTAGGAAACATTGCAGGATAAATGCCTCAGAATGGGTAATAGCATGTTTACTTCTCAAGAGTAGAACTTGCATCAACTGCACAAATCTTAAGTCAACAGACACTAATAAACATCTACTTCATAACACACCTGAAAAGGCTTAGTTTTGTTATGTAAATCTTCATATAGATTACGCCAGGTCTTTATCTCCTCTTTTAAACTAGAGGTCACATCTTCATTTATGGTTTTCCTAAAAAGCAGGAAGTAGAGTTTCATTACATTCATTGATAGCTCTCAGCACTTATTCACACTGAGACTTCAGTGTGCTATAATATGCAGGTTTAGTTTGAGAAAAGTCACCTTGATCTTTCCACTTCAAGTTTTCTTTTCAGATCTTCAGTTTGCTCTTCCAGTTTTTCCTGAAGTTTAGTCATTTGTGCAAGGCAAGACTCTTTTGTTCTCTCTGTTTCTGCTTCTTTTAGCGCAAGCTTTGTCTGGACTTCCAAAAGCATCCTGAGGAAAATATCATCCATCCTTAATGAACCCTTAAAACTTTTTTTTTAACGCTACTCTAAATCTGAAAACACAAGTAACCATGATTGAAAAGCTGTTAGTAGAAGAACTGAAATAAAGGTTTGCACAAACAGTGCTACAAGAGAAGAACAACAATACAGAAAGCAGTCAAGTTCAAGATGTGCAATACTCTTAACTTCTCCTATGAGGAAGCAAGCAGTGCTTTTGAAGGAAAGATCATGTTTCTTACTTACGACTGTTTAATGCCAGCAGCTTTTAGTGGAAGACACTTTAGTAGTTAGACTTTACATGCAGAGGTTTGCTCAAGCAGAAACTAGTCAAGGCTGTTCAGTGTGAATGTACTCAAGGGTTCAAAAATTCTACACCTAAAGCATTGCCTTCCCTCTCCAGCCTCAGCTGTTTGTTATATCACCTAGGTGGAGACTACGAATCCCTTCCCTGCCACACTCAACCAGCAAATCAAACAGGAAATAACTCTTCAGTTGTTTTTCTTTTACCAGCTCTAATGGAAACTGGAGGCAATATTAAGCAGGTGGGGAGGAAAGAAAGGGCAACATCTTAAGCAGCACAGGTGTTTTAAAATAAGTTGGGGTAAGCTGTGATTCTCCTTTGGACAATCTTAATATACTGGCTCTGGGTGAACAAGACAGCAGAAACATTACAAAACTTCACAGAGGCATTTTGGGAAGATCAGAAATACCCAATTCAGTTTGGCCAAAAAAGCATTTTAATGCAGTCGAGTAAGTCATTTATCCACATGCAACAGTTAAAAAGATTAGAGCATAGTTGTTGATTTAAATCCAGCTTCAACTTCAGAAGCTAGCTAGGAACTACGTTAAAAGAAGTGGGGAAGGAAATCTTCCAGCAGATACACAATATGATCCATAATGCGACTCATGTACAGGCAGTTACCACAGTTGCCTAATACAGGTGATTGTACACTGGGACCTTTTAAGGCGAAACTCCCCCACTTCCTCAAATAGTCAGTTACTTGCCCACAGAAGGGACTTTTTCATGCTCTGCACCGTGAGCTGGAAGGAGAACACACACCACTAAGCTGCTGTTAGACAGTCAGAGAAACATCCTCAGCTAGTGGCCTAAGACAACTTCTTGGGTGTTACTACTTCTTAGCTGCACTGTGGTGCTTCGTATTAGGCAGAGAGGACATTTGTTTACCTCATGGCAGTGTGGTAATTCATGGATGGTTAATTGGCATCTGCTTGTGAGCCGAATTTGAGGTGGCACATTATTCAGAGTGGCAAAGGGTGAGCTCTGCATTAGTGTTTGTTTGTCTGCCCCTGTGGATCTTATTTGTGGAGCAGTCACTGTAACTGATTATTTCCAATAAAGACAACATTCCAATGTATTTCAGTTAACTATTTTCCTTTTCCTATATGTTCCACATAAAGGAAAATGTCAAAGCAATTGATTGAACAGACCAGTTTTCTAACGCATATAAACTTAATGAATTTTGTCTGTCGATATTTTCAGCCTTCTGCACTGGGAAAAGGAAGAAACTTAAGCTTACACCAAGTACTGATTTTATTTCATAGACCACCATGTTAAGTTCTAGTTAAGAAGGCAAGCCTTAGCTGGCATTCTTTAGCTTAAGGAAAAGTTTGTCTGTCTAGTACCTTGCACATTCTTCTTTTGCTTTGTTTTTAGTGTATTCTGCTTCCTGAAGCAGCTGTAGATTATCTTGGCCTATTTTTTTTAGGTTGGCAACTTCTTCTTGCAGAGAGGTGTTCTCCAGTTTAAGACTGCATATTTCTTCAGCTACTGTCTTCTTGTAGCTGGCATTCCAATGCAAATCAGAAAAATCTTGTTACTTTAGACAAAATACAGTAAGAGATTTTATAATCTGGAGATATGGCAGTATGCTGGCACTGATAAATCCAAAGTTAAAAAACCAAACCCAAACATTTCCATAAAGCCATAAGCAATACACTACGACAAATTCTGCGATACAGGTATTTTCACATTTTGGTAGATACTTTAAAACACAAAAGACCTACTATACCTGAAGCTTATTTTAAACACCGAAAGACCTACTATCTGCAGCTTGCATTGGCAAATATCCCACTGGATCCTTCATGGGTGCCTTGCATACTCAGCAATAACAATAACACTTTTTAAATACTTCTACAACCTGAATATTTTGAGAGGAAAGAACTGTAGGAAAATAATGTCGATTCAGTGCAAGTTTTGAGCCTAAACAAGAAGTCTCTTTGCAAGAGATTTTAGTGCAAAGAGAACACCATCGCTAGTTACCACGCTCATTGAGATTCAAGAGCACTTGAGCATTCTAACTGGTTACGCTTTGGAAGAAGAAATATCCCGTTTCCTGAACCATATACTGAGTATGTCATTACATTTGACTAGTACTCAAAAGGAATAAGTTAATTTCTTAATGCAATCAAATACTCCATCACAAAATCCTCTGCTCTAATACTGTACCAATGCTCATATACAGTGTTAAGTACCAAGGCACATGAATAAACAGCATGTTTTATTGTAATCTTAGAGATAATCCCCATCCTAGATCTTAACGAAACTTAAATACCTCTCAAAGTCAGCAACAGTCTTTCCAAGTTTACACAATGTATTGCTATGCTCTTCCTGGATTTGCAAAACAGCATTGCTGTGCATTCCATTGATTTGCTCCAACTCAGCATTCTTCCTGAAATAAAAATTCAGCATTCCACACTGAAGATGAGTATGTCTGAACACATTACCGAATGCTGTTATCAGTTACAGAAGGCTTGCAGTAGCAGCAATAAATTATGACGAACCAGTAACTTCTCTGCCACAACTTCACTTATTAAAGCACAATCTTCACAACAGATTTCACTAAGCATTTCCCCCTCCCCTTATTTTCCAAGATAGCTATAGAATAGATTGAACACCTAATAGTAAACTTTCAATACGTGAAAGGAAGAAACAACTTGCTTGAAAATCTTTCCTAGTCATTGCCCTCTCCAGGGCAGAAACATCCAATACAATGTGAATGTGGCTTACCCCTCACAACAATGTCACGTTAGTACAGTACTGGCATTTCAAGCAAGTCTCAGCACACTAATTAAACAGTTTTAAGACAATATAAAACTGATTCAAGTCACTCAGCTGGCTTAGGTCGAATCACTAATCAACAACCAGCAAGAAATAAATTTATATCTGTTCAGGTCTCTAAAACCCAAATTAGGCTCAGAAGCTTTGTTTATGCTACTGATTTAATATTTTCCCTTTCAAAGCTTTAGAATCAGAAAGTTTACTTCACAAACCCTTTCAACTTTACTTCCATCTGTGCAAGTTCAAGAGCTTGAGATTTGATTTCTTGTTCCAACCGCTTCACCAACTTTTCAGCTTTCTTCTCCTTAGCATGTAATTTATTCAGCTCATTCATTGTATCATTCAGCTCTTCTTCAAGAATATATCTCTCACTTGTTACCTCATCTTGGAACTCCAGCAACTTCTGGTGCATTGACGCAGATGACTCCTGCATGCCAGAGTATCACAGATTTTAAAACTACCAGTACTTTTCGAGATATTAAAGACTAACTTGCATTGTTCAAACTTTAAAGGACAAGAATAACATCAAATCTACAGGAAGAACCAAAACACCCATCATACCAGCCATGATTCTTAGAGATATTGGACCACACAGTTTCTGCTTGCCAGCACCCACTTGTACATTCCACAGATTAGACCGTTAATAATACAGCAATCTCACATGTGACCAAAATCAGAACCTTTAGCGCCAGTCATTGGGATTAGAGTCTATTTTTAGACTAATTTATAGTCAGTATTTACCTTCTCTTGCTGCAGCTGAGAGACCATCTCCTCATGTTTCTGAAGCAGTTTTTGGTGTTCTTGTTCTTCTAAGCCAATTTTTTTTTTCAGGTCTTCTATTTCAGCGTTCATACTCAGGAATTTTCCTCTGCTCTCAGACAACTCTTTCTCTGCATAGAGGAATTGTCAATATAACACAAATTCCCTTCTCTATCTTCAAAGAACTACAACATCTAGTACTTCCATTCTAGCTTTAACGCGAGTTAGGCAAGGGGTGGGGGGAGGGGGGCGCAGGGACCACCACCAAAAAATCCCAAACCGCATCTTTAACCCATCTGGAAACTCCTCAAAATTGACTGAAAGTGCAACACTGTAAAAATAATTTTAACAGCAGAAATCTTTGGATCAAGCAATTAGCCTTCATCAAAACAGCAGTATGGCTGGGGAAAAACAACTAAATGACTTCCCCAAAGCTTCTTCCACATAATACTAGCACACACAAGCCAACTGGTACACAGAGAACTGAGTACCAGTCTCAGGCTGCAGAGTTGCTGGTTTTGGGGGAGAGGGGGTAAAGATGTGAAGAAGGATTCCTAGACACATTCCCAATACCTCAATGAACTTGTGCAGAAGCTGCTAACAGTGGATTGAGACAATATGGTAGAGCTTCTCAACGAAGAATAAGGAACAAGTCATTTGTGTTCAGCTTTCAGACTAAAGCCATTCCCACTATGTAAACAATCTTCATTTCTATACTATCTACCTTAGTAACCCTCCATGGAAATACAAATTTAGACTTAACAGATGTCAGATTCAAGGTAGCTTCCATATTGGTAGAAATATGCCTAGCTGTTTTCAGCTGGAGCTCAGAGACATGACTTTTAACTTGGAACAAACCAGTCTAAACTGACATTTTAGAACAAACCTATTTGAGATGCTTTAAGACCTGTCAGTGATCCCACATATGTGAACAGCATACAAGCACTAACAATTACCTTTCTCTCGTTGAAGCAACTGGCACCTTTCATTAAGTTCTTTTATCAGTTTAAATGATTCTTCCTCTTTTGTTCTGAGGGCATCCCTCAGGATCCCAATATCTTGATCTTTCTTTATCAGTGTCTCCTCCATCTGGGCAACATCTACTTTGTATTTCTCAACTGTTTCTGCAACACTACTGCAGGAGAAAATTCGGGTATTTGTTACCACTAAATTCTGTTTGTAAGCTTACGCTTCAGCACAAAGGAAAAATGCTTAGGGCTGTTGGTTTCCAACAGGAAAACTGCCTTCACCTACTTTACCAGACAAGTTTTTGCACATTAAGACAGATTAATTAAAATTAAAAGCGATTTATTTCAACACTGATGTTTTGTTTTAAAAGAAACTTATACAATCACACAAATAAAATATGAAGGTTTGATTAAAAGAGAATTAGTCGCTATAATTGATTTACAGATGACTGCTACAGCCAGTTTTTTTCCACAAAGCTGAGTTTTGACAGAAAAGCATACACATTAATAAACCATATTTTAAAAGAATAAACAGAATCTTAAGATATATAGCCAGTTAATGAGGAATCTCTTAATGAGTAAATTGACAGTGAACAAAGAGTGAACTAGTTAAATGTAAATACTTCTCTATTTTCACCATGTTCTGAGCTAGGGACACATTACTGTGAAGACTAGTTAGAGTTTCAGTCGGTTACAAAGCACTGGATTAGTAATTTTTAGAATCAGACTGATGTTCACACATACATAATTCATCACAACTCTTAAATGGAAATAGGAGTAAAGTTCACCGGAAGCCAAGATTGAGGGTTTTTTTCGCCCTACTGGACATTGTTTTACAAGAGAGGGCTAAAAGACATTACTGCCAGTACCTTAGAGGAAAAGGATTTAGTTTGATTTATGTATAAATAAGGCTAAAAACATGATTTCAGGACCCTGATACCAAACTCTTCCATAATATTGCTTAGCCCAGAACAGCACAGAGACATTTAGAAAGATAATTAAAATAATATCTTGACTCCTTTCCATTGTGTAGAAAAATATCTGATTTCTTTTCCTCCTCTATTTTAATGCTGTTAAACAGAATTGTTGCCAAGATTCTACTTCACCAGTTGTAAACGAGGCTTAGTGTTAGTGCCTTTCAACTTACCCAGTCCAACTCAAGAACAATTTGTTGTTACCTGAGCTCTGTGATATATTCCAGGAGTTTTTCAGTGTCAGACTTATCTTCAACTTTCTCTCTCTCAGTAGCAGACCTAAAACCAGGAAATTTTCATGATGGATGTATTTAAACAAACTCAGAGCTACTTGTAAGCTATTTGTTTACAGATAAGCAAGTAGAAATAAACCATTGAATCACGACTTAGCAGTAATATATACTTTCCATAATTCAGTTTGGCTGACAAACTGGTATTGGCCCTAAGAGGTGATTCTACCCTCTTTTGATACTTGTTCCGTACAGTCTTCTCATTTGTAGTAAAGATGCTGAGTCGTATTCTGCCACAAGCAAGTACGTTAGAACAGCTGCATTAGCTAGACAAATTATCATTTCCTCCCTTTGTGACTTGCACTACCTGCATTATTAGCTTTGTGTATTTTAACTCTAAGATAAGTATAAAAATTCTGCTCATATTTGAGCGCTTGAATGTTAAGTAAATGCAGAAAGCATAAGGATGCTGCAGTGCCAATCATGCAAAATTGAGATAAAGTATACAAGTTCATCTTTCATAGGTTGCCATCCTCAGAAATAGCCTATATATGAGCGCGCTGTTCCTGTGTGGCAAGTGACAGTATTTGGGCAGAACAGAAAGTGTTGATTTGGAACTCTCTCTTCCTACATACAGCTGCTTCAGCCAAAACACTTAGCAGGTGTCTTTCTTCAGAGAATGTGGCTACTACGAAGCAACCACGAAGGCACCACAACTGCTCTTCAATACACTTCGCTGGAGAACACACGCGTGTTCATCAAATAAATCTGTGTGAACTGCCTGGCTACTGAATTAGGATCTCAACTCCTGGTCCAATGCTTTTTCATTCTTGCTTATTTCTAACTTACTAGTCTAAAGGGCCAGACACTGAAGTATCCAATCTACACGAATGTCTTGCTCTAAGGTGAATGACAATTATCTTCTCAAGATACATGTCTGCCCTCCCCATCCCATAGCCAAGAGAACTCCACCCATACTACACTGGAAGACAAAGGGTTGAGATGACATGGTTTGTCTTTTGGAAAAAGGTTAGATACACTAGAGGAACAATATTTTTTAATGTTCATTTTATAAGAATACAGCAGTTCATAAAACTTCATTCCATCAAATTTATTCCAGGTCACAAATACTAATTATTTCTGTTCCTCCTTAGTAGGGAGACAGCCTGTATTTCCCCTAAACCATGTGCTTACTATAAGGTACAAGCATGTAAGCACAGCTAGATGATATAATGTCATCTAAGTCAATTCCTTTCCTTCCTACTTACAGTTTTTCTTCTAACTGTGCTACTTTTCCCTTTGAATGCTCTAGATTCCTTTGCACTTCCTGCAGCTTCATTTCCATATCTTCCTGCTTTGCAAGTGCAGTCTTAAAAAAAAAAAAAAAGACAAATATTACCACCAAAATGAGATTTAGTAAGAAATCCATTGTCTAAGAGACAGCGGTAAACTGAAATTAATTCATAACTAGTTTAATGATAGCGCTTGCTACTATGTTAAATGTGATTCAAAATATCCCTCCGTAAAGATATTAGCCATTTGTTAAAACAACAACCATCATGCCCCGAAAAACACAAACATGTATAAGAGCTTCAAACTATACTTAGGACCACTGGTTTTCAAATAAATTAATAGTCTGACCAACAGATTGATATTGTAACAGACATATTTCTAGGTTTCCTTACTTGAACTCAGATTTACTCTACACATCAACAGCAAAATCAAGAACATTTGTTGTTTGATCTTTCTTTATTTTCACCCTACAGAAAATAGAAGAATCTACCTCACAACAGAAGAGTTGGGGACAGAAAACAAAACACGATCAGCAGTTCTATTGTAAGCCCTTCATTGTCTGCTCCTGAACAGCTCAGAATTACTATCCTGTGCAGTGCAAACGGTCATACCTTTTCCTTAGCATCCCTCTTGTTTCTGAGCTTCATTAATTCCATGCATAGGCTGCTCATTTTCTTCTGCACGCCATCTTCAGACAGCTTATTAGAGATGAATATAAAACCACTAAGCATAACTCCTTCATTTGAATTACTCTTCACACAATCTTTTTTAAAAGTGTCCCCCTCCCACCCACAACACTGATCTCTACCCGTCCTTGAGACGGATGTTAGCAGGTCCCACTCTGGCTTTAGACAGAAGCGCACAAGATCCCAAACCAGACATGCTCTATCCCTGCGGCAATGAAGGGGCATGGGGAATGTGAAAATAGATGCTGATGAGCAACTAAAGTTTCCTTTTGCACAGGGAGCTTAATAACAGCAAAGTCAAAGCAAATACACGCTTATTTGTCTGGATACCTTTGACTTTAGTAGTTCATTGGTTCTTGTTAGTTCCAGAAGCTGTTTTTTTAGGCATGCAATATTTGCCAAAAGAGATGTTTTCTCCTGAACTGCAGCATTCAGCTTTGCTTCAATCTTAACAAAATCCTCATCCAGAGCCTGAAGTCTTTTATCCTGCTCTCCACGCTCTCTCACTAATGCACGAATCTAAAACAAAAGAGGTATTTTCTTTATTTCCTACTATTATTCTTCTTAAATAACCTCATTAGTTTATGCCTGTTGTTTTCTTGGAGAGGCTAACTATCCAAACTGTATTAACTTTCATTCAGAATATATATCTCCAACTCTGTCATTCACAGGAAAGGAGATACCAGAATCACCACAATCCTCTATTATTACACACCACAGATTTGCAGTCCTAGCATTTCATCTGACTTATTTTATGCTACTGAGCCAGTACAACATGTTAAAGTTGAATAGTCTTAGCTTCAGCTTGCAACAGAGGCCAAACCTCCTCTTTGGCTGTGGAATAGAAAGACAGAATGTGACATTTGAGACATGAGGCATAGATTACTACGCAGAAGTGTACTGATAAGGAAAAGCTAGCTGCCTCTTAAACTTTAAAATTATGTCAATTATTAAGCAAAAAACTCAGCAAACAGTTGTTAAATAAAAGAGAACCTTTTTGGGATAGAGAACATAGGACTTGGTTCTCCCCTTTTTTTTTAATAAAAAAAAACTAGCTGCATAGCTGTTCACAGTCGGTAGGAATTTATGTAATTCCATTAACAAACTCAATGTTTTCTACATACCATAACATTTTATAATCTCTGCTCTGCACAGAGCTGTTTGCAAGCTACCTGTATGCTGTGTTATACAGAAGAGGCTAATTCTACCAGTTTGTATTTTTTATTATGGTAAGTGGGAAACATATTACAGGATTGGACTCACATAATGTATTCATACCTCCTTCTCCAGTGTCTTTTGTTTCTTTTTCTCTTTCATAAGGATAAGATCTTTTTTAGGCTTCAGAATCCCATTAGCTGGCTTTTGAAAACAGACATATTAGTAATATTTAAACAGATCTCTAGCTGCATACTAGTTTAACACCACAGTTAAATGTAAGAGTGGATGCCTTCATATAGACAGTACTATTAAAGATACACACACAAAAAATAAAAAACAAACATCTCTCCCACACAGAGGGCAGAGGAGCATCAGGTTAGGATGGGGTTTACCATTGTACTTTCTCATAAGCATTACTCTGAATGGACAGCTCATAACCATTGTGACAGGAAGGAGATTAAGAAGTTTGAGACATTAGCACCCCCTAAACTTCATAAAAAACACTTTAAACTCTTAACCACAGGTTTGTTTGCAGAATTTCATCCTACATCATGAGTACTAGTAAACTAAATGAGTAAGTCAGAGTTATCATTTTTCAACTTGTTAAGCTATGCATCTTCAAATCCATATCCTCGCACATTGCACTGAGAACCTGTGTATACAGTATCACCCCTCTTTGTTTCTTTTACCACTAGGTTTCTGCTCTGTCCACTGTATGAAAGAAGAAACAGAAACATGATCTTCCTAAAAAGAAGCACCAACATTGTAACACCAAAGACAAGCCACTCTGTAGTCCCAAGTAATCATCACGTGATTCCCAAAGAAGCTGTAATTTCATTTTTCCTTCTTAGTTACTAAGGAATACAGGCACAATAATGTGTTTCATAGTTTACTCAGGTAGGTTAATAGTAATTGCATAAAGGGGCTACATGATTTAACTAGTCACAGTGAGCTTCAGCTGGAATTTAACAGTGCTTCAGACACCACAGAAGAGTCTTACTGTTGATCCGAGAGATGCGAGTCTCCTTCCAGTTACAGGGGTAGGTGCACTCTTCTCACTGTTCAGATTTGTCTCACCTGCAGAAGGATGTAGAAAAGAATGGTGAAGGAAAAGAGCATGTATGCACATGGTGAGGGAAATTAACCAAACTAGACAAGGTTAATTGGCTTTTTATACAAAAGACAGAATGCCACCTGATTATGAGGCTACCCACTTCACTACCCAATGCCAGCTGTTTTCTTATTACAGTCAGACAGTTCAATATTAGTCATCTGGGCACTTCACAGAGTTTAGAGAGAGACTACCAGATGACAGTCAGTTTTGAGTATTCAGCTTCTGACAAGTTTCCCCCCCACCATCCAGACCCATGCTGTCAGTTTTCAACTGAGGGATGCTTTATATCTGAAAAACCCATGAAAATATCACTAAAAACATGGTTAATGAAGTAGTTAAATCATTTATTTGATCTCCAGAGGTCCCCCTAATTAGCAGAAGTCACATATAAAGCTATTTTCAGAAGATTCAGTTAGACATGTTTTTACAGCTGCTCTCCCCTTGAGCTGGAAGGTAGGCAGTGAGCCCCTGCAACAGAAAACAATTTCTAAACAAGAACAGCCCAGTAACAGCATGTAACCACTAACAACTGTAGCATTCAAAGATATTATACCATGGTGTTCTATGCAACTTTTAGGACTACTTACTCTTCTGTCTCCTAACCCTTTGACATGTTTCAGAGGACAGAGAACTTTTCAGTACATCTGAAGATTTAACATCATAGGATCCTCGCAGCGGGGTACATACTAGAAACAAGATTTTCAGAACAGCAGAGAATTATTAAGGCACATGATCGGGTTTTCAACTTCAGTAAGTTGAGGCTGGTAACAGATCTAAGTCAAATCCACTTAAAAAACCCCAAAACACCAACTGGAGTCTCAGTTCTCCTCATCCTCCACATAAACATGAAAAAAATATACAGCACACATGGTGGGGGAAGGGTTGATTTATTACACCGCTAATAAAATTAGAAACTGCGATTTACCCATATGATATTGCAAGGCATCTTATTAGTGATAGCAGTGCATTAACTTCCATGAAGAAAAACCCCAAATGGTTAGAGGATCTCAACGCCAACTGGGGAAAAAGCCAGTCTGAAGTGTTAAAGGATAAAAAGCAAACTTAACTGTTAGGAGTTTTTTTTAAACATCTTATTCCAGTTTAGAAAAGACTAATTGGACATTACTGAATGCCAAACTTTTCCTTCAAAGAACTAAGTTACTTCAACTTTTAAAAAAAATTAAAAAGCTTTTTTAAAAAATGAAACAATTTTAAGGGAAACAGCAGACAGAAACAACATGGCTACAAATTCCTCATACAATTATCATTACGGTGGGGTGGTCTCAAACCCAATAAACGCTTATCTACTTACTTCAGCTTTCTCCAAACGAAAGCAACTTCATTTACTATGAGAAAGGGTGACAGTAGCGGGAAGGCATTCAGCTACAGGCAAAAACTCGTTGTGAGAAACTTTTACATTAGAAAAGGCCCTCAGTAGCTTCAGTTGTGACTAGTTCTGTATATGCTTCTCTTGTAGTTTTGCATCAAGACATCAGAAGGCTAGCGAATCCTGGCTTGCCTCTGTTTTATTTGCTACGTACGTACATATATGCTCACTACTACGTTTAGTGGCCGTTTACCTACGAGCAGGACTCGAACGGCGGTCGGGATTTTTGTTCCTCAAAACAGACTCCTACAGGCGCTCAGGCAAGAGGTCCCCGAGCACGCCGTTCGGGGCAACTCCCCTCGCAAGGGGAGCGCAGGCAGGAGGGCTGGGACACACCGAGGTAACGGCAGGCCCGTCTCCCTTCCCTCAGGCGCTACCACGAAGGGCTCGGGCTCCCTCCTTCGCTCGGGCTCCCTCCTTCCCTCGCCCCCCACCCCCGAGGACAGGAGGCCGCCGCGCACGTACCGGAGCTCTCGTTGAAGCGCCGGAGCGGAGCCCTGGAGAAGGCCATGGCGGAGGAGGGAGCCCGGCGCG